GTGAACAATTCACTGGTTCAAATGATTCATTCAGAGTGAGTTTCCAGTAAACAATTTACTGATTCAAATTATTCATTCAGAGTGAGTCTCCAGTAAACAATTTACTGATTCAAATGATTCATTCAGAGCAAGTCTCCAGTAAACAATTCACTGATTCAAATGATTCATTCTGGGCAAGTCTACAGTAAACAATTCACTGATTCAAACGATTAATTCGAAGAGTATTAAGTAAACATTTCACTGATTCAATTGATCTATTAATTACTGATTCAAATAATTCATCTAAATTCAATCTCCAGTGAACAATTCACTGGTTCAAATGATTTATTCAGAGTGAGTTTCCAGTAAACAATTTACTAATTCAAATAATTCATTCAGAGTGAGTCTTCAATAAACAATTTACTCATTCAAATGATTCATTCAGAGAGTCTCAAGTAAACAATTCACTGATTGAAATGATCTGTTCAGAGTGAGTCTCCAGTAAATGAATCACTGATAAAATGATCTGTTCAGAGTGAGTCTCCAGTAAATGAATCACTGATAAAAATGATCTGTTCAGAGTGAGTCTCCAGTAAATGAATCACTGATAAAAATGATCTGTTCAAAGTGAGCCTCCAGTAAACTGTTCACTGATTCAAATGATTAATTCAAAGTGAATTTCAAGTAACAATTGGCTGATTCAAATGATTCATTTAGAGTGTCTCCAGTAAATGATTTCCTGATCCAAATGAATCCTTCACAGTTTTTACTTGAATTATTATGAATCAGAGTAATTATAAGAGTATTAGTTTTGGTAATGAGACTTTCTGGCAAAAGAAACATTCATCACTTATTACTTCAAGTCAATTCAAAATCAAGTGTTGTCATGCTCAACGAATCGAATTCAATGACTGAACTGTGTAACAAGCAGTACAAAGAGTGAAAGAGAAGAAAGCGAAGTCCTCCAGAAATCTGTCAATATGAACTCGGAGAGGAACGGAGGGATGGAGAAAGAGAAGAAGACAGACATGAATCTAAAGTAGTCTTTGTTGTGTCCTCAGTGACAGTGAGCATCTCTCATTCTCGTCCTCTGTGTTTCTCTTTACATCTTTTCTGGCAGCACATTTATCATTCCTGCACACAAACAATTGAGCTGGAAAAGTGATGAACGCAGGCGATACAAAAGATGGCTAAATCAGGGGCCTCCGATCAGCCGGTTGCTAGGATACCTTTGATCTTTTCCCACAACCAGCTTCCGGCAATACATTCAGGAGGACGAGCCGAGTTTAACAGATAAAAACTTCACTTCAGTTTACTGTAAAATCACTGTAAAATCAAAATTGATGATAAAATATATACCATAATTGCTTAATAAATAATTATATACCCAAAAAAGTAGATTATAAATGGATATTATGTTATCAAACAAATAATTATTATTATTGAGATTGCTATTATTGGTGACAATAATAATAAAAATGTATCTATATTTAATATTATAAATGATAATTTATATAATTATATTAAATAACTATACAATTATCAAGTATTATAATTATAATCAATATTTAAAAATTATGTGACTCATTATTATCATTATTACTATTAACAACATTATGAAAATATTAATGATTTATTATCCCAGTTTAAAATCCCAGTTAGTAATCTAATCTGAATTTTTATTATTCACAATATTAACATTATGATTATTTATGAATATTAGTAATAAAAAATATATATAATAACAATAACAGCAACAACAACTACAAATAATAATAATGATAATATAAAATGTTATTATTATTATTATTATTATTATTATTACTATCATCATAATAAATAATATTTATCATAATTAATAATAATAACATTATGAGAATATCAACAATTTAATATCTCAGTAAAAACTATGTTTAATCTAAATTATTTGTATTATTAATAATATTACTACTATCATCATCATTAATAATAATAATAATAATAATAATAATAATAATAATAATAATAATAATAATAATAATAATAATAATAATAACAACAACAACAATAAAATCAAAACTATCGAACTATCAATATTTAATATCCCAGTAAAGAAAACTATAGTAATCTAATCTAACTTATTATTATTAACATTAGGATTATTTTTTATTATTTTATTATGAATATTAGTAAAAAAAATAATAATAAATAAATTAAATAATAGTAATAACAATAACAAATATTAATGTTTTATTATTGTTATTATTCTTTTTATTACTATCATCATCATCATTATCATTAATAATAATAATAATAATAATAATAATAATAATAATAATATCAACATTATGGGAATATCAATAATTTGATATCTCAGAAAAAAGGAAAGTGGTCTAATCTAAATTACATATATTATTATTATTATTAACATTCTGATTATTTTAATTATTATGATTAATAATAGTAATAAGTAAAATATTAATGCTATTATATAAATTAATATTTTATTGTTGTTATTCGTATTATTATTATTATTTTAATATTAGTATCATTATATTAATAATAATAATAATGACAATAATAATAAAATACTAATAATAATAATAATAAACTATTTATTTTTATTTTTATTAATGATGATTATGATGATGATAGTACTAGCAGTAATAATAATGATAATACTAATAATACTACTACTACTAATAATAATAATAATAATAATAATAATAAACATTATATTATTACTAGCAGTAGTGTTTATTATTATTTGTAATTTACATTGGATTTAAATGCAAAATGTACAAAATAAATAAAACGAAATAACAAAATAAATACCTACATTACAGTATAATATATTAAGTTAACTGTACTTAACTAACAAAAATCAAGTAATTGCAACAAGAGCTTTAGTTTCTCTGTATCTAATCCTGAAGATCTTTCACTAAAGCACCAACTAAAAGCATCAGCAAAACAGAAGTGCTGAAATCGTCTGAAAATACTGGCAGTCAACTATTTGAGTATACATCAACTGAAAAATCACAAAAAATGCATGGAATGAAGTGATGATTTCAGCTCTCTGTCCAACACTTTAAACAGCTGTCAGTCAGTATCAGAGGCGTCAGCAAACACACTCAGCATTTTCCCTGATCTGCTGTGAAAGATGCACATCAACAGAAGAGCAACTTAAATCAGCACATTTACAAATAATTTACTCCAAATCCAAATAATGCATCACTTTATAGGAATCAAACATAAATCATCACTGCTTATAAACAGAAAGAAATCCGAGCATTCTGATGAAAGAGAAATGCACTGAAAATACACTGCACAATGTATATTAAAAAACCAAATAGAGTCAATATTGTTTGTGATAAGGCTTAATGCAATGATAACTGCAAATGACGGTGTTTAATAAATCAATTTGCTGCATTTATTTAGACTTGATGGAGAGTTTCAGTGTCTCCCTGTGGCTTCCTTTATAAAGTTCAGAAAATAAAGAAATGAATAGAATTATAAAATAAACTAAATAATTAACTAACTAACTAGCTAATCAATTATATACAGTAAATAAATAAATGAACAAAACTATGAATAAATAAACTAACTAATCAATTAATATAAAAAATAAACTAACTAATCAATTAATATAAATAAATAATAAAAATTAGTAAATGAATAAATAAATAAAGACTAACTAATCTATGAAAAAATAAATGAAATAAATTAATCAATAAATAAACTAACTATAACCAACTCAATTATAAATAAATAATAATAAATAAATAATAAATATTAATAATAAATGAGTTTTTTTTGTAATTTCACAGTAGCTATAAAAATATAATAATACAATATGTAATATATATAAATAAATATAATATAATATAATATCTAAATAAATATACAAATATATATATATATCAATAAAAAGGAAAAATAAATAAATAAATAAATAAAGGTATAAAAAGATGGATGGATGGATTGATTAATTAAATATAAGATAAAATCAAATTATAACCTTTTTTTTACAGGAATGATTGTCATATTTCTTGTATTTGAAATAATTTAGCTTATTTAACATTGCATTTTTTATTGTTATTTGTATTTCTTTTCAAATATAGCTATTCAAGTCTAAAAATAAAAAATAAAAATGTAATATTGTCCAGTCTTACCTAATCCCCCAGTACATACCTAAAATACACGAACCAAAACAAACCTACTGTATACTAGCATTGCTTTAACAACTATCTACAATATATCTACACGATCTATATAGTATATCTACAATGCTTCCACAGAAACTGACTTTTCTTCCTCTAAACTCTGAGTTTTTCTTTCACAATTGACTTTTTTCTCTAAGTTCGGAGTTTACATCCTGCAATTCTTGCTTTTTTTTCTTTGAATTCTGAATTTCTATTTTGCAATTCTCACATTTTTCTCTGAATTCTGAGCTTATACTTCTCAATTTAGATTTTTTCCTCTGAAATCTGAGCTCATTTTTGCTCAATTTAGATTTTTTCCTCTATAAATTGATATGTATAATCTTAGATTTCAGTTTAAATCTTGCAATTCAGACTTTTTTACTCTAATTTTGAGGTTTAATTCTTGCAATGCTGACTATTTCATTGAATTTGGGGTTTCCCTTTAGCAATTCTGAATATTTACTCTAAAAAAACAATGAAAAAACATGGCGAATTCCTTCAAAACCTTATTCCTCATGATTGTCTTCAAACTGGCAAAGTCAAGCAGGAGAGAAAGACAAAGAAAGAGAGGAAGAAAAAAGAAACAAGAATTTAGGCCAAAAACAGAAAAACAAGAGAGCAGCCAACAAGCGTCCAGCATCAGAAAACTGCAGAAAACAACGCATGCAATGCAAATCAGCTTCCATCCCGATGCCAAACGTCTCCAAGAAAAGACCCTTTATGTGCCAGTGTTTGGCCTGAAGACGTGCACACATCCATATAACCTGCTGACAGAGCCTGAGATCATACAGGAGGAGGACAACAGCACGCATTCAACACACAGAGCAAACAAGCACTCACTTGAACGCCATGGCATCGAGAGGCGAAAACTGATTCATTAAAGAGGCTTTGGGAAGTTCAGGTCTCAGACGTATGAAGATGGAGAAGAGAGTTCTTTAAAGGTCTGTGGAGAAAACACAAACAACTGCACATTAGTAGAGGATCATATATGATATCATACAAAGAAATGCTACATATGGAACAGATTCAGCAATGTCAACCATTATAAATGCTGTATTCTGCATGCCAGGACTAAATGTGTTGATGTGACAGAAACACTTTGAACTTGCACTCTTGGGAGTCTGATTGAATCACTTTTGAGAGTCTGATTCAATCCCTTTGGAGTTGGATTGAATCACTTTTGAGTGAGTCTGATTCAATCACTTTTTGGGTAATTCAAAAGCGATTAAATCAAACTCTCCAAAGCGATTGAATCAGACTCTCAAAAGTGATTGAATCAGACTCTCAAAACTGATTCAACCAGACTCTCAAAAGTGATACAATCAGACTTCAAAAAACGATTGAATCAGACTCTCAAAAATGATTTAGTCAGACTCCCAAAATTGATTCAATCAGACTCTCAAAATGATTGAATCAGACTCTTAAAAAACGATTCAATCAATCTCCCAAAAGTGATTCAATTAGACTCTCAAAAGTGATTCAATCGAACTCTCAAAAGTGATTCAATCCACCTTCCAATAATGATTGAATCAGACTCTCAAAAGTGATGTAATTAGACTCTCAAAACTGATTTAATCAGACTCCCAAAAGTGATTAAATCAGCCTCCCAAAAATGATTCAATTAGACTTCCAAAAACTGAATCAGACTCCCAAAAGTGATTTAATTAAGACTCTCAAACGTGATTCAATTAGAATATCACAAGTGATTCAATCTGACCCCCAAAAGTGATTGAATCAGACATTCAAATATGATTCAATCCAACTTTTAAAATGACTCCATCAGACTCTTAAAAGTGATTCAATACACCTCCCAAAATTGATTAAATAAAACTCTCAAAAGTGATTGAATCAGACTCTCATAATTGATTGATTTAGACTCTTAAAACTGATTCAATCAGACTCCCAAAAGTAATTTAACTAGACTCTCAAAAGTGATTCAGTCAGACTCCCAAACATGATTTAATTAGACTCCCAAATGTGATTCAATCAGACTCTCAAAAGTAATTCAATCAGACTGTAAAAAAATATTTGAATTAGACTCTGAAAAAGGGATTTAATCAGACTCTCAAAAGTGAATCAATCAAACTCTCAAAAGTGAATCAATCAGACTCTCAAAACTGATTCAATCAGACTCTCAAAACAAAAGTGATTCATTCAGACTTTCAAAAGTGATTCAATCAGACTCTCAAAAGTAAATCAATCAGACTCTCAAAAGTGATTCAATCAGACTCTCAAAAGTGATTCAATTAGACTCCGAAAAGTGAATCAATTAGACTCCTAGAGTGCAAGTTCAAAGTGCTTGTGTCACATCAACACATGTTGTCCTGGCATGCACTATACAGCATTTATAGTTGTTTTTAGCAGACCTTTTGACAATGTTGTACTCAAAACTTGAACATTGAATCTCAACTGTGACATCTGAACTGAAGCAGCTTTCATTTACAAGAACTTTATCAGTTTAGACTGCAAAAAGTGCTAAATAAACGGAATTGAAACGGAATTGAATACATATATACAGCCATAAATACAATTCAAACTTTCTCTCTCACACACACACACACACACACACACACACACACACACACACACACACACACAGCTGATTTTGTGAACAAAAGCCACAGAGAGCTTTGGGCAGAAGGCTGAGAGCCACAACTCCAGCTCACTCGCTCTCAATTAGCCTCCACTGAAGGAGAGCCGGGTTTCCGACAGCTTGGCGGGAGATTCCATCACCATGGTGACGGCGGTACCCCAGAGAATGAATAGAAAGCGTTCTGGAATCCAGCAGCGTGGAGAGAGAATCAGATCTTATTAACAACAGGGAATATCAGACCGGCACAAAGGGGGACCAGCGCTTTCATTAGCGAAATACAGATTAATAGAGAGCATGAAACCGACGCTAAATAAAACCGATGCGCTAAAAATAGAGTAATATCTTGCCGGTTTGTATTAGGTACCATTGACATCCATGGAAATTCCGCTCATGCTCGAGTTGAACTTAAAGGGACGGTTCACTTCAAAATTAAATTCTGCAATCATTTACTCTTACTTTACTCACTCTAAATCTTTTGTTCTGCTGAACACAAAAGAAGATATATTGAAGGATGTTGAAAACCTGTAACCATTGACTTCCACAGTATTTGTTTTTCAGACATTGAATGTCAGTGGTTACAGGTTTCTGACATTCTTTAAAGCAGGGGTCACCAATCCTGGTCCTGGAGGGCCGGTGTCCCTGCAGGGTTTAGCTCCATCTTGCCTCAACACACCTGCCTGGATGTTTCAAGTATACCTAGTAAGACCTTGATTAGCTTGTTCAGGTGTGTTTGATTAGGGTTGAAATTAAAATCTGCAGGACACCGGCCCTCCAGGAACAAGTTTGGTGACCACTGCTTTAAAGTATAGAAAGAAAATTAAAACCAAATGGGAGGAAGAGTTAGTTACTGATATTGATAAGGAAACATGAGATAATATTTGGTCTAATGCTAAGAAATTATCTGTTCATATACGTACAAGAGGAATACATTGTAAAATAATACACAGACTCCATATCTCCCCTAACCGCAGACCTCTACTTAACCCTTCTAATTGGCCTATGTGTTTAAAATGTAAAACTGATGTGGGTACTTCCACGCATTGCATGTGGTCATGTAACAGACTGCAAAGGTATTGCTCTTTGATGCTGGGGGAAATGGAAAAGATCTTTATTTGTGACTTTCTTTAACATGCAGCTGGATTTTGACCCAGTTTCATTGATTTTGGGGATACTTCATGGACATTTTTTCATCAGCTAATTAAAAATTGTATAATATATTAACCTTTGCCACCAGAAAAAAAAAATATTTTACTTAATTGGATTAGTGATAAATCTCCATCACTTAAAGGTTGGCAAAAGATCATTTGAGTTAATTCCCCTGGAACACTTACCCATGTTTTACACAAAAAAACAGAACTTTTTTTTTTTTCAAAGTTTGGACTTCATATTTGAACTATTTGGAACCTTGCCCTATCATGCTAAATAGGATTAATAGTTTTAGCCCTTTTTCTGAACTGTTTTATTAAGGGTAGTCCTGTTTTATGTACAAATAAAGTTAGAATTATTAGCCACCCTGAATTATTCGCCCCCATTTTTATTTTTTCCCCAATTTATGTTTAACGCAGAGCAGACTTTTTCAACACATTTCTAAACATAATAGTTTTAATAACTCATTTCTAAAAACTGATTTATTTTATCTTTGCCATGATGATAGTAAATAATATTTGACTAGATATTTTTCAAGAAACTTCTATACAGCTTAAAGTGACATTTAAAGGCTTAACTAGGTTAATTAGGTTAACTAGGCAGGTTAGGGTAATTAGCCAAGTTTTTGTAAAACAATGGTTTGTTCTGTAGACTAATTAAAAAAAAATAGCTTAAAGGGGCAAATAATATTGACCTTAAAATGTTTTTAAAAAAATTAAAAACTGCTTTTATTCTAGCCGAAATAAAACAAGACTTTCTCCAGAAGAGAAAATATTATCAGACATACTGTGAACATTTCCTTGCTCTGTTAAACATCATTTGGGAAATATTTGAGAAAGAAAAAAAATTCAGAGGGGGGCGAATAATTTCTGACCTTAACTGTATAATCTAAGCTTCTTTTCCTTTTTTTTTTATTTCCCTTTTTTTCTCTCCATTGTTTTGGGTTAATATTTTTCTTTGCATGTCTTTTGAAGATGCATTGGTATGTCTATATTATTAAAATCAATAAATTATAAAAAAAAAAAAAAAAAAAAAATATATATATATATATATATATATATATATATATATATATATATATATACAGGAAGAAACTCAAACAAGTCAGCAACAAAAAGAGAGTAAATAATGACAGAATTTAGATTTTTGGGTGAACTGTCCCTTTAAAGTGTGAACAGATCAGAGCGCAACAGGACAATTTTTCAAAAACGGATTAAAAGTGCAGCACACTGTCGGCTTCATCAATTATGAAATATGTCAACAGATGCAACATTAAGCCAACAAAGGAAAAGACTACACCAGGTAAACAACATTAAGCCAATGAAGGGAATAAAACGCACCAGGTAAAGCAAGAAAATAAGATAATCTGAGGTTTTTGTCCCTTGTGGACCAAGGCTGCACTAATTTGATAAAAATAAATTGAGTAAAAATGTGAAATATTATTATAATTCAAAATGACTGTTTTCTATTTAAACATATACTAAAATATAATTCATTCCTGCACTGCAAATTTGAATTTCCAACAGCGTTCTTTCAACATGAATATTAAATTGTTGTAAAATCCATCTTTTGGATCCATCGTTTGCTGCTTGAACATTTTCTCAAAGCTTAGAATTAATAATGTTTAAACAGTACACAGTCATATATTATTGTTCAGAATTCATTCGTTCATTTTCTTTTCGGCTTAGTCTCTTTATTAATCAGGGGTCGTCACAGCAGAATGAACTGCCAATGCAGTGGTTTATGCAGCGGTTGCCCTTCCAGCTGCAACCCATCACTGGGAAACACCCATATACTCTTGCATTCACACTCATACACTACGCCCAATTTAGTGCATTCAATTCACCTATAGTGCATGTGTTTGGACTGTAAGGGAAACTGGAGCACCTGGAGGAAATCTATGCCAACATAGGGAGAACATTCAAACTCCACATAGAAATGCCAACTGACCAAGTCAAGGCTGAAACCAGCGACCTTCATGCTGTGAGGCGATCGTGCTACCCACTGCGCCACCGTGACACCCTTTGTTCAGATTTTTTAACAAAAAGAAAAAAATTAATAAATAAAACAGACATTGTCGAATTGAGATCTTACAAATCTTTTGTAAGATGATAAATGTCACTACACCAGGTAAAGCAAAAATAAATAAATTTTGAAAAATATTTTTTCGGATATATGATAATGTTATATATTATATATAATAA